GATATGGATCCCTGTTTTCCACAAGCACCTGGAATCTCAGTCTTTCCAGGTATTCCGCCTTTCTTATCTTTCCAACCCCCTAATCACCAGAGCACTATGCAATGTAGGTTTGTGCTCCCAGAGCAGATCTCCAGAGGTAGGTGTTCAGCAGTCCCATGCCTCTACTCCCTCTCTGCTCCATTTTTCTTCCTCCCACCCGTGAGCTGGGGTAGGGGAAGGGCCTGGTCACAGCTTTGGTACATTACCCTGTTCCGTGAGGTTTATTGTTTTCTCCAGCTGTGTACAGTCTGGCGCAGTGTTCTTTCCTGTTCTCTTTGTGGATTAGTTGTGTTAATTATATTTTTGTATTATATGCGGTTTTTGCAGGAGGCCTCTGTCTCTCCTCTCACATGGCCATCTTTAATCCTTCCCTGGTTTTCTTATTTTACATTGGTATTGAAAATGTTAGGATATATTGGCATTTGGTAGCTGCTGCTAGAGAACCAATAGCTTTATATAATATGGTGATATGTATAATTTAAAGGAGTCTATAATAGAGGCAGCCACTATCCTTGTTCATTGATATTTAGGGATATTAGAGAGAAAGGTATCTAATTATAGAAAGGAATAAAATCCCTTTGTAAAGAGGTCTGCTAGCAGTTGCAAAGGGCAGCTGAAAACAAAAAGACCTGCTAGCAGGAATTTCACTGTCCAATATTTAAAACTGGCTGTTTTTGAGATCCCTCTTGAAGGATTAGTGTTAGTGGCTATGGTTTGGTCTATTAGTTTTGACACCTTTGTATTATGTCATCACAGCCAAGACTGCTGAAAACTAGCCTTAAGTCACTAGCTTGGGCTATCGGTCTGTGGTGGCCTGATGTAACTGCAGGACATCTCACCTGCAAAATTGCCATTCCAATTGAGAGACTATGTCTTAGGGAACTACAAAATGAATGGCTTTTGGCTTGTCACTATTACTGCTTTTGCCAGTGACCTTTTCCTTACAGAATCCGGTAGCCTTTTCATACATATTTGCCGTTAACTCCTCTGTAGTATTTGATGACCACCTGTCCAACTAGGAGTCTTTTTTCGTAGTGCTTTTTTTTTTTTTTTAATACTTGGTATTTTTTCATTTATAAGAACAGCACATGTTCCTCAACACAGCCTGTAAGGCACTTCATGATGTGCCTGCTTCTCTAGGTCAGAAGTCTAGTACTGTCTCTAGTCCTTTTTGTCAGTGGGATTCCTCTTCATTCTCTTTACTGCAGATATGTGAGCCTCTTGCCCTTGTTTAGTGCTGAGGTTGTTTCTAACTCAGGACCTTTTACCCATTCCTTCTGCCTAGAATGTTCAGTTTGCTCCTTCTTGCAAGCATTCATGTTTGTGCTCTTGGACTCTCTTGCTCTCTCTCTTCTCTCCTTACTGCTCCCACTCCCAGTGTCCCTTCTCCTCTCTTTATCCCTTCCCTTTGTGAACTTGTCAGTTATCAGCTTTTTAGCTTATACCTTGTTTGCTTTCACCTGCGTTTCTCTATCTTCACCTGCTTTGGGTCCTGTGATCTACTTAAACTTAACCTTCCTCAGAATGACCTCATCATCTCCCCAGCTTCCCATCATCTCAGCTTGCCTCCTCCCAGTATTCACATTGGCTAATGGTTTACTATTTTCATCTCCTGGGTGGTGGAGATGTCCATGATCATGACCCATTTCTACATCACCACATTCATTCCTTTTAGATGTCCCTGCCAGCCACCATAATACCACACTCATTGGCCTTTAGATTTTCTCTGTGTGTTTACCTAACTTCAGTATATCAGCTGCCTTTGAAGATCCTGTGACACCTTATTAAGACCACATTGAGTCAGCTTGATTTGAGAAAAAACACATTTAAATTAGACTGGATCCCAATGAGAATTTTAGTAATTGTTGCTAGTGTAACCTTAGTTGAGTTGTTAAACCTTTCAGGCCCTTGGTTTTCACATTTGTGAAAAGCGGGTTGCACAGTTTTATCTCAAATACACCTTTTAAAGATCGTTTAAGTCTCAGTTGGAAAACATCTGAGAGGTCTGACTGCCTGGCCAAACCATAAACCCTGTTTTATCCCTTATTCAGGACTTGAAGCTTACTCTTCCTAAGAACCCCATCCCAGGGATGTCCTGAGTATTTGAATTTCACAGATATCCATACAAGTTGAGTCTTTTTTCCCCTATATCTTCAAGCTATTGGTTTAATTCTACCCATAAAAATATACAGACTATATATATTATTCATGATAATTTTTCAAATATTTGAAAAAAAAAGCTGTCATACTATCTGTAAAACTGAACTATTATTTCCCTTTATCTGAAAAGTTATCAATAACCTTTCCATAACCACTGGGAGCATTGTACACATGCTTATGAATGTAAACATTTCTTTTAAGCTGTGTCTTACTGTTCATTTTGAGTCTTCAGTTAAAACCCCTAACACACATATTACAGAATAGAATGCATTATAGAGGTTGTCTGCATGTCTGTCCACACTGGTTTATCCCTGACAGATAGTCTAGCCTCTGCTTGGATATTTCAAGGAGTTGATAGATTCACTGGACCCTCAGGCATGGCCCCTTGGTTAGAAGATTCTAATGTGGCATTGACCTGCCCACTGATATATCTGGCCCCATTTCTCATTTCCCTCTAACCTGATTCAAGCAGACACTCATTGTCATTTCTTACATCCACTGTACTTGATTCCAACTCTAACCTCATTCATTGACCAAGTAAATTGAATTCATCATATATGCCAAGCACTGTTCTGGTGATAAGAAAAATAGCCCCAGCCTTCTTGGTATTTATTATCCAGTGGGGACACAGGCACAGCTAGAAGTCAGAGCTCCCTTCCATTTATGCTTCACAGTCCTGCCCGAGGTTTGCTCTATCCTTGGAAACCTCTCTTCCTTCCTTCACTATTTACTTACTTTTCTGACCTCTTGTGAGATCTGTTATAAAAAGCACACATTTTAAATGCATTCATGTTCCTTATTTCATTTGTTCTTTTCTTCATTGTGAGCTAGATAGGAGCCTTGTGGCATTAGTGAATATATATTCTACTTTTATTTCCACCAAATCACCTTGTTCAGCATTGAGCCAGAATAGGCTTGGCATACTTAGCGTGTTGATTAGAAATGCAATACTTCAGCCTACTCATGAGGCCAAAGGTCCATCAGTGTGGCTAGTTTTTGATTGTCTGTTCCAAAGTTGAATGACCCTTCTATTTGCCATTAGAGCTCTGACCTTCTCAACAGCCTACACCTTCTAAATCATATCATCCAGCACTTCTAAAGGTAAAAATAGTGATCCTTATTATGTGAAGGAGATTTACCTTCAGGGATTAAACTCATTTCTGAAACAATATGTAATACTTCTCAGAGTTGAATGTCAGTGGCATTTGCAGCAGCCTTTGTGTGGTGGGTTGACTTTGTTCTTTGTGTTCTGTTGGCATGAATAATTACAGTTTTGGGATAAGCATAAGCAAATCTGGTTGTTTAATGAAAACATGGTTAAAGATAGGATCGTGGAGTTTTAGAATCCTTAGAAATATCAGCCAAACTAGAACCTCTTCCCCACCCTATCTCCAATACATAGGTACAAACTAATAAAACCAAAACTCATTTTTTTTTAACTTCTGGCCCAATTTTCCTTAAGAGTAATGTTAAAAACCAAATTGTGGTGAGCATGGTCCTGTGAGTATATTGTACTTTTTTTCTATCTTTTTGGGGAGGAGATCAGGCCAGGGATAATAAGTATGTAGTCAGCTCCTCTTTTATATGCTGCTGCTGAAGAGGTTAAGCCACCATGATGGGTAAGGCAGATTGCCTTCCACTGAGTCTGTATTTCTGCAGAAAAGGTCCAGAGATATTGAGGTATCCGAAATGACTCAGCATGGCACTCTCTCCCCCATCCCCCTTTCATTTTTCTCCTTCTTTTCCCTCTACCTCTCTGTCCCTTCTCCTCACTCCTGTCTCTTTCCCTCTCTCTCTTGCTTTCTTTTTTTTTTACCTTTCAGAAAACGACAGCCTTTGAACCCTAAAAGGTCTGGATTGATCATACAGCTTTCTGAAAGGTAAAAAAAAAAAAAAATGGGGCATGTGAAGGTTGGTTTTTGTCGGGGGTGGTGGGATAAACTTCACCTTACTTAGTGCTGTACCAACTTAAACCATACCATAAGTTTGTATTCCAGTTTAATAACATCGTGCAAATGGTTTGGTATTATATACACAGGTAAAGTTAAGTCTTTAACTTAGGAAATGTATATATATAACAGTGAGAATCAGCAGTAAAAATCAGGTATGTGTTAGCAGCTAGTCCTGAGGAAAATAGAGGCCCGCTGGCTCTGATGTACATACAGGCCTTCAGTTTAGAATTAGTCTCAGTGGAAAGCTAGAGGCTTCTTGAGATTTTTATTGCTTTTTCCTCATTACTTTTTTAAAATTTCCCAGTCAACTCTGGTTTTCAGAACTCACTTCAAATTTAAAAGTTACCCTTTTGAAATGAATTTCTAAATCTTCTGACATGAAACTTTGAAGAGGAATGTTATTTTACTGTCTGGAAATTTTATTGCTTAGTAAAGACATCAGAGACTTAGGGATTTTATTAATCTTCTTCCAAAGTATGTTTTCAATTGTTGATGAGTTTGAGTACTATGCTGAAGGTTTAAGTTTTAAAAACAAAGTATCATTGTTTTTAAATATTGTTAGTATGTCAACCAAAGATAGTGGGGTGCAGTTGTATCTTATGGGGAGCCTTCTTTCTGGAACCAGCCCCACAACACCACTGCTTTAACCTCTGCTAACTGGAAAATGCAGTTTACAAGTTACTGCTGGATGTGGAAGTTACAAAAAGATGTTTCCTGAAAATCAGTGACATAGATTTGTACATGAACGTAAAAGGAGGATATATTCAAAGGCAGTTGAAAATACACTGAAGCAAATTAGAAAGATAAACCAATACTTGAAACATAACCTTATTTTTTTTTCCTTTTTAGAAAGACAACAAAGTTGCTGCATAGTCTCCAAACAAGTCTTTGAAAATAGGTGAATTTCTAGCTCTTCATGGTCCTGAGAATTTGTTTCAGTCTTTGCAAAGAATGAAGAAGTGAATTCGCTGTATATTTGTCACCAGCACTGGGTTTTTGTTCGTTTGTTTTTCTGCTTAATTTCAAAGATAAAATGCAGTTACTTTTTTGGGGAAATGCTCATCTGTGAAAATGAGCATTAAATATATTTGGAATAGCAGAAGGTTAAGTAATTTCTTATGTATAGTTAAACTAAAGCAGTACTTCAGTGGGACTTAAGTATTTTTTCATCACTGAAAGGATTTTTCTTATCACTAAATTGTATTTGGCAATTATTGTAAGTTGCAAATAGGGCCGTGATACTGTGTTTTGAGCCACAGAAGGTTGTGTGTGTGTGTGTGTGTGTGTGTATGTTTCTTTTTGGAAATCCTGTAATATCCCTTTGAGGTAGCTTATTTCGTCAATTAATTAGGGTGCTGGATGGTAGATAATTTTGTCAAGTCAACTATGTACACACAGTAAATACTGTTTCTTAGGCAAAGGTAACTTTTTTATATAGTTGTAAAATTCCATTATATTCCATTGCCAAAGAAACATTAAGAACTTTGTATAGCTGTATAAAAAGCAACTAATTTTTTAAAGAATAAACATTTTAAAGTCTGCAAACATACCGTGTCCTTGGAGAAGTTAATGTTCTGAGGAGCAAAGCTATTATGGGTGGGTCCTTTTTTCATAGCTTTCCAGACTAAAGAATTTTGATTTGGGGTTGCTTTTTTTTAGTATTTGGAACATAAATGAAGATTTGATACATTCTTCCAGTATCTAAAGAGGATAAATTACTCATACTCATTGTGAGAACTTAATTTTATAGCAAATGGCATATCACAGGATTTGTCCAAATAATAGATATTTTCAGGATACAAATGTAAATAATCATAGATAAGAATGTATGTAGTTGTATTTTCAAATAAGTACCCTCCCTTTTTTAAGACAATAAAGCTAGGCAACAATTAATCTGTTCTTCCTAATATGCCTAGAATTTTGTCGTGATACCTTGACTCACTCCATTATATTTCAAGAGGATTCAGAATGTTAGAATTATTTTGACAACCTGTAAGATACCGTAACACTGATCCTTGGGCCTGTGACCCACAAATGACTCACTGTGGGTTCATTGCTAGTTACAAATAACAAGTAAATCTTTTTGATATTTTAAGCTATAGGGAGAAAAAACTGGCCATTGTGTTTTTATGAAGGCCATTGTAATAAAGAGAGCCAAAGATTTAAATATTTTTATCTATTATGATTTTTTTAACTTCCTCAAAATATTTAGTAGTAAAGGAGATGCGGAATACTACACTGTAGGAGAATTAGAATATTTAAAGATGGTTGATATTTTTAATTTTGTATCTTTTATATAGCTCTACAAAGAATCGTTTTGTAATATGGTTTCATTATTAAGGTCTAGTACTTGGCAGCCATAGTTTAGATAATATTGTTTAATACTGTTTGCTTGCATGTTAACAAATCTTTTTGGAGGAATCACAAATCATGATATTGAAAATATTTTTGAGGCATTCTGAACATCAGAGCAAGTACTATGGCATAACTATGTAGACTGAGATGTCCCAAGCCAATTTTGAGAAGAAAAACTGTAAATACCAGGACTACATGCTCTGAAAGTATGAATTCATACGTTTTCCAAACCCTCTGGGTCATTGACTAAGACATTTGGTGCCCCAGTAATTGGAAGCGTGGCATACCTGCAGTGCACCTTACATTATTAAAGCAAGGTTTTTATTATAAGATAGAATAAAACTGTTAAATAAAAAATGCTCGTCAAAGTTCTTTCTCTTTAAACAATAGTAGTCTCTTAAAATAGAAACATATTGAAAGACATCTTTTAAATATAAAGGTGGAATTATTGTCATGTTTATAGTCCCTGACATCATTAAATTAGTTTCTAGCTTTTTTCCTAAAATGTATTTATTGCTGTAGGTGTTCGGGTAAAGCTAGAAGGTCTCCTCTAGAGTGGAGACCACTCCTGAGTCAAAATCTATGACTTGAGATGAAGCCAACCTGGCACAGGCCAAACTGGAAACCTCAGTCTACATTGCATGCCCTGTTGGTGGGCAGGTGCAAAAGAGAATAGAGGAAGCACTCGCTCTGAAACTCATCTATTACATAGACCGTTTCTGTCTTCAAAAGAAAATTGTGAAGGGTAAGGAGAGAGGTGAGGAATGTTAATCCAGCTCAATGCCTCTTAATCAGAGGCTGAACTGACACCCGAGGAGCATTTAGGAATGTGAAGGGGGTGTGTTTTGGTTGTCACAGTGAATAGGGCCCACTACTTCCATTTAAGAGTAAGTGCCAAAGATGACAGATATCCTGCACTATGGCGGACATTGCTATATAATCAATTATCCAGTCCAGAGAGCAACAGTGGCCCTTCTGCTTTGAGAAACACTGACTGAAGTCCCTCTACATGGAAAGACAGTGAGTGGGGAATTAATACTCCCCTCCCGAAATTTTTACAAACATCAAAGAAATCTTCTTTACATGGAATTTGGAAGTCAGGGTATCAAGGGACCTTACTTTCAGTAGCATGGTCAACATCTCGGAAAAACGTTGTCATATAGGCATCACCACTTGTCCTGTTCTCTCTCTGTGGTTGACAAATCTCTTATCAAAATCCACTAAAGAGTATTTTCTAAGTATAAATTCCCATGCCCCACCCCTAGAGAGTTTGATTCTGAAGTTCTGTTCAAGTTTCAGGGGTAGTTCTGACCAGCCAAGTTTAAAAAGTTTTCAAACATCAAAGCTGCCGCATCTAAACTAGCCCCCATCTTTAAGACCCATGGTCAAGTTTCTACAGTAGGATTGTAGGATTTCCCCATCCTTCCAAATATATTATATCCAGATTGTGACTGAATCATGAGAGGGAAAGGACTAAGTGGAAGGGGAGCATTTCTGCAGACAGAATCTAGAGAAAAACAAGGAGATTGAAACTCATGTTTTCTCCAGAGTTTGGCTGCTTTGAGAACTGAATATTAGTTTTTTATTCCTAGTATACAGGAAATGGATGGGTGTTGTTTCTGTCTCAATTTTACATGGTAGTGTCCCTGTCGCTCTGGGTTATCTGCCTGAAAAAGAAGCTTCTTCTGCAAGGCCCTGTATTAACAGCTTACATCTAATCATGTTATCTGGATTTGGTGTTATAAGATCCCCCTACTCTATTAAGAGACTATAAGCTGGTGTAAACTGTGGTGGTGGGGAGAGTGCCACCATACAAAGTCATCAAGGTGAGTAATCTGTTACAGGAGCTCAGATGTCACTGATTTGTTTACCAATTTGACTGTGTTTTTAAAGATTATAAGCATTAGTACAAATCAAGTTGGAAAACATTTTGAGAAGTAAAGTAGCACTACTAGTCTATGAATCTGAGGATGCTAAATGGGGGTTTGCCCAGAGCACCCTACCTTAGCGTCTCCCAGGATGAAGGGGACACTGAAACAACTGGGAAGAGGTATCCCCTGAATAGGAGTTGATCAAGTAAGGGAAGTAAGGGTGCATGTAGCTTTGGGTAGCAGAGGTTTGGAGGCCAGTGTCAGCCAGTCATCCAACCAGTGAATACACTGGGAAGCTGGAGATGCAGATCCCAGGCACTGCTCTTGGGAGTAACCCTGGCCTCCTGAGGAGGAACAGTGTGAAGGTTCTTACCCTGTTTTCCATAGCCAGTGTTAGTAAAAGCAAGCTTGTGGTTTTGAGACATTTATAAATCTGGCTCCAAGAGCATGTGGTGAGACTATGAACCTAATGTTTCTGTTCTCTGTGATGGTACAGAGCTTTAAGCCAGTGGTATGGGTGTCCTTTAAATTTAAGTTCAGTTCATAGTTAACAAACTTGGCCAACTGATAAACTTGTTTTCAGGTAGGTTTAGCTCATAAATATATCCAAATAGGCCTGAATCTGATTTCAGTTCATAATGAATGTTTATTTAAGGAAATGCTTTTAAGTGCACTGATGTTGTGTTGTGGTTTATAAAGAAAGAAAGCAGCTCTTTGAGGCCAGAGTGTATTTCAGTTCAATAACGCAGCTTTCTTAGGGTGGCTCAGTTTAGGTAGACAGAACACATGAGAATAGCCAGCTAGTAGCTCATGGCCTGAAAGCCTTTCTTTTGCCTCCAGACTTGAAGAGCAGTGTGGGAATGGAAGGAGAGAGTAAAAAAGGCCAGTCTTGAGGGAATGTGAGAAGCCTGGGACCAGGGGAGACTAATGATTCCAGTGGATGGTGTATAGTCGTCCCAGTAGAGAGGACAGGAACATGTTTACCAGGTGTCTGAAGTGTGCCGGTGGAATCCTGGTAGTCGCCTAATCCTGATAATCCTCGGATGCTAGCCTCACACAGAATTGTTGAGAATGCAAATCCCAACATTGCAATTCAGGATTTTGCTTGTGCTGAATTTTTTTTGCGAATCTTTTCTTCATAGGTTATATGGGTGAGGGTTATCCCTTGCTCCATTCCCCAGTGTTTTATAGCATTACTTGGTCGCAAAGTGGGTATGTGGAGCCTTGTAGGTTACAGTTATACTGGAATTAAGTTTGGTTTGGTTTTGTTTTGTGAAAGTGGTACATTGTAATAAGGATATGGGTAGTATGGAAGATAGTTTTTAAAAAGGAAGAAAGAAAAATCTATAGTCCTGTCACCCAGAGCTATTGTTAACACTGTTTGGGTATATTCTGCCTGGTATTGTTCTGTACAGGCATGTGCTGCTCAGCAAAAATGGACTCGTATTAAGTATTGTGAAACTTTCTTTTTCCACTTTTTATCTTCAGTAGCATTGTTTTGTTTTGAAGCATAATACGCACACAGAAAAGTGCACATATCATAATTACCTCTGTAACCAACATCCAGATCAGAATCAACATTAACAGTACCCCCAGAAGTCTCCCTACACCTCCCTTCCAATAGCCCACTGCCCCCTCAAAGGTAACTACTATCTTGACTTCTAACAGCATAGGTAGCTTTTGTTTTTGTTCTTTATATAAATGCAATTTATACAGTATATAATTTCATGTTTAGTGTCTTTGCTTTTAACACTGTGTGTGTGGGATTCATCCATACTGTTTTCATTGCAGCATAATCCGTACGTTAACAGACCACAATTTATCCATTCTGCTGATGGATGCCATATTCTACTTTTGCCTTTTAATGCTGGCACTGTTTTTTCCTCCCAAGGAAAAGCCAGAGCTACAGTAGATGAGAGGAATACTGACTTAACACATTGAGGACTTACAGTGTTGTGAAAGGTAGTAGTGCCCAACTGTGGTGCTGCTCCCACACTAGTGCACCACTGCAAGTCATCTGTTACTGACCCTAAAGTACCAGAAAACCCTCATGTATATCTAGATGTATCTATAAGAGCAGGTGCGGGGTTAATTCTTGTCTGTGTGCCTTGCCTTTGTCCCCTAAAAACACTGCTCCCCTACCACCCTTCCTAGAGATGATGGCACAGGAGTATTTCTTGCCCTGCAAACCTATGTTCCAGAAGTGAGCTTCGTATCCTTGTTCCTCCCCTTCCAGTAAAATCCCTGCTTACTCTGTTGAGGCTCATGTGATCCTCTTTCAAGTAAGATCATCTCATGACCTGATTACTGCCTGTCTTGAAAAATCTGATACCTGCCTTCTTCTAAACTTCTTTCCTTCCAAGTGACTTCAGCTTCTGTGTGGTTTACCCATCTGTGTTGGGAGTCCCCAAGATACTCATACTCACATCTGTGATTCTTACAGTAAGAGGATACAAAGCAAAATTAACAAAAGGAAAAGACACTTGACAAAGTCTAGAGGAAAGCAGGCTCAAACTTTCAGAGGGGTCTTTTAAAGTGGAATAACAAGATGTAGTTCATTCTCCCCAGCAACAAGTTGTTGCAACATCTATGGAATGTTGTCTACCAGGAAAGCTCATTAGAAACTCAGTTCCCAGGGTTTTGATTGGGGGTTAATTATGTAGGCATCCTCTGCTTGGCACATACCAAAATCCCAGACTCCCAGAAGTAAAGCACAGGTAAACCACATTGTTTATACAAACAGTTTAAGGACAGTGAGCCAGTCTTATCATATCTGGGAACGGTAGAAACCCTCCCGAAATCAAGAGTTGCTAGATGCCAGCCAAGGGCCAAACTTCAAAGCAGGCCTTATAAAGGATAGAATTCAAGTCTGCTATGTTAACTCTTCTGGAGCTTTCCTATACCCCTAGTCTACTTGTCCTATGACCTTCTCTCAGCCCCTCCTATACAAAGCTGTGCGCACACCTGGACCTTGTCCATCAATCTCAACCATCACCTCTAAATCATGGATTTAGGCGCCCCACACTAGGATCTTCCAACTGCCTTGCTCAAGAAATAACTAACAACACAATACAGTGATCTAACCACTCGGTAACTGCTGTTAGCCTGGTGCAGGCCTCCAGGTCAGGGATTTTTCCACTTTGGATTCATTAGTTCTCTCCTTATGCATTCCCACCACCATCTCCAGCCTAGACTCCTTGATCCATCATTTATCTTGCAAATATCTTCAACTCTCTTGCTCTTACGAGCTTGTGCTCTTACCTAGAGAAATGTCAACCCTGAGAGTATCCACCCATCCACAGTATCAATACCAAGAGCATTGAGTGCTGCAGAAGAGAATGACATTAGAGTAAGTTAGCACCACTGTAAATATAAATACTGCTTTCTACTGGGTCCTCAACATTGCCAGTAAAACTTAGTACATTTTTATAATCACCTCTATGCAGTCACCAAATGTCTTTGCCATCTCTTTCAAAGAAAATTCGACATGGATCGAATGCCTCAAACACTTGCCGCACTCTAAACCAGCTTCATCTGCATCCAGCCTTTTCTTGCTGGCCGTATCAAAAACAGAAAAACTTCACCCGTTCAAGAAACTGCCTGTGCTCTAGCTCCCTAACTTCCTCCATTCCCAGACTTATACTGATTTCTCTCTTTGACTGCCTACGTCTTTAACTTCTTCCTTGATAAGGGATCCTTTATATTTACATGTAAGTATTAGGCTGGCATATTGTATAACAGTAATATGTTAATCATATATACTAATATATAATTGTAATTAGCATATTAATCATGTTGTAAACTCCTTTTTTCAGAAAATTATGCTTGGATTCAACATCCTACCAGCCCCTACTTAGCTCTTAACTGTCAAGATGCTTAATCTCCCTTTGACTTCATAACCCACTTGATCTACTCTCAGTTTTTGGTAAGATCACAAGTGATCTCCAATGAGCCTTTCCAGTTTTCCTCCCTTGCTTTCCAGAAGCATTCTGTATAATTGACCTCTTCTTAAAATACTCTTACCTTAAAACACACTTACCTTCCTGACTGCCATATCACTCTGGTTTTCTTGCTGCCCTCTCTAGAGCTGCTGCTCTTCAGTCCGCTTACTTGATTCCTCCACCATCCCATCTTGAAATAATAGTGCTCCTCAAAGTTCCACTTTAGCTTTTTTCTTTTTTAAGCTGCATACTCTGACATCAACCCCTATGGCCTTAACTATATGGAGTTCTTAAATTCACATGTCTAGCTCAGAACTCTTCTGAGTCTGGATCCGACTTCTTGATACCTGTACTTGAAGGTCTTACTGTAGCTTCTTAAATTTAATGTTCCCCAAACTGAAGTGATGATCTCCCTTTTACTTCTCTTCCAGTGTTCTTGATCCCAGTATATAACAGCATCACCTGCTACTAATCTGAGTGTGCCAGAACCCTGGAAGCCATCTTTGATACTCCATTTCCTTCAATTCTGCACCAGCGTAACACCTGTTACCAAGTTGTCAGTTCTACTTCCTAAATATATCTAATCCCCTTTTTTAATTAAAAAAAATAGTTTGATTACTTTGATAGGAGATGTGTGTTTTACTCTGAATCCCTCAGAAAGGCAGCAATCTAGCAATCTTGTCCCTTCCTATCTCTAGTCTTATGTTTTCAGTTTTTTCTATGGAAAAGGGGAAACTATTCAACAAATAATTGAGTCCTAACCGTGGAAGAGGTAAAAGTCCAATTGTAGGGTAAGCAGTGGTGAACAAAACAAACCCAGACGTTATTTGAGCTTGTATTCTACTAGGAGGAGACAAAATAAATGAGTAAAATGCAGAAATGTTAAGAAGATGCTTAAATGCTAAAGAGAGAAAAGCCAGGAATGGGGACAAGAAAGGGTATATGAGCTGGAAGGGAAATGCTGCTTCCAATTTAAAATAGGTTAGGGAAGCTGACATTTGAGAAATGAGTCAAAATCAAGCAGAAGAAATTGTAGCTGCAAAGACCGAGGCAGGAATGAACCTAGTATGTCTGGGAGTGGAGTGAGGGAGGAGAGAGTAGTAGAATATGAGGTTAGAGAGTAAGTGGATGCTGGGCAGGGAGGGAGCAGAGGAGTCTACTAATGACTGCCATTTATTCTGAGATGGAAGCAATGATAGGACTTTGAACAGAAGAGTGACAATCTGCCTTACATTTTAAAAGAATTTCTGGCTCCTGTGCAGAGAATATATTAGTGGGACAAGAAGCAAGGAGTTCAGTTAGGAGGCAGTACAGTAGCAGAGTGGTTCTTGCTCCCTGGCAGTTGGAACACGCGGCTTAGTCTTAAGTACTGAATCCACTGCAGAGGCTTTGAGGCAGAATGCTGTGGTTTAGAGGCTTCCCTCGCAGACTGTTCTCTGGCCAAGCATTAACACAGTTCAAAAAAATTTTTAATAAGATACACAGAAGTCTCCATCTTCTCACTGTCCCTCAGACTTATAGTTACCCTCTCCACATAGAGCTAGGTTGTTTCCAATTTTTGCTCATACTAACAATGCTGAAATGAAGGACCTTCAAGAGTCATTTCACAAATAGGTGAATTTATTTGTAGGTGGTAAATCCAACGACTGGATAACAAACTAATAGCTTTGTAATTATAATTGTGGTCACAAAAATGGTGTTATCAAGCTTTTGAAAATCTTTGCCAGTCTAATGAAAAATACTACCTTAGTGCCCCATGCATTTTACTTTGAGTGGAGCTGGATGTTTTTTTCATAAATATAAGTTACTAGTACTTAAACTAAGTACTTTTTTCATGTGAACTGTTTATTCTTTGATTATTTTTTCCTCAGATGTTATTTATAGGAGCTCTTTTTTATTAGGGAAAAAATGTTATTTTAATTGGATAATACCTGTATATAGTTAATAAATGAAACAAAGTAGTATACGGTAAGTCTACTTCTCTTCCTTGAAGGCAAATACTATTAACTATATCTGTATCGTTATAGAAAGTACCTTCCAAATTGTGCATATGAATGTGATACCCACGTCCCCCTCTCCTTCCCCTATTTGATTAATATATCACTAAGAAAAGCCTGTATAAGCTGTTCTTTACTTTGTTTTTTTTGCCTTCTTACCTCCTGATAGGAATATTTACTCTCTTAAACCACCACACATCCTTCCTCTGCATCCTCTTAATATACTTAAGATAATACTTGATTACAGCCAATGCATAATACTTATTACAATTAAGCAAGTATCATTTATGGATGAGCCAAGTAGTATAAACCTTACTTCCTCTCTCACAAAATGTTTTATTCCTGCCATTAAAAGTTCCTTTATTTTCACATGTTGGTTGACTTTAAAAGCTGAAAACTAATAATATTCTACTAGGATTTTATAAGAATTCTTAAGCATAGGCCAAGTGGTATATGCTTTCCCTGCATAGTCATATCATAGATACCTTTTAAATTACCTCCCTGAATATCATGAATACCTTTTTAATTACTATGACCAGTATTAAATGAATTGTCATTTTTTAGATTCCTAAAACCAACTAGTGTTTTATAGCATTACTTGGTCGCAAAGTGGGTATGTGGAGCCTTGTAGGTTACAGTTATACTGGAATTAAGTTTGGTTTGGTTTTGTTTTGTGAAAGTGGTACATTGTAATAAGGATATGGGTAGTATGGAAGATAGTTTTTAAAAAGGAAGAAAGAAAAATCTATAGTCCTGTCACCCAGAGCTATTGTTAACACTGTTTGGGTATATTCTGCCTGGTATTGTTCTGTACAGGCATGTGCTGCTCAGCAAAAATGGACTCGTATTAAGTATTGTGAAACTTTCTTTTTCCACTTTTTATCTTCAGTAGCATTGTTTTGTTTTGAAGCATAATACGCACACAGAAAAGTGCACATATCATAATTACCTCTGTAACCAACATCCAGATCAGAATCAACATTAACAGTACCCCCAGAAGTCTCCCTACACCTCCCTTCCAATAGCCCACTGCCCCCTCAAAGGTAACTACTATCTTGACTTCTAACAGCATAGGTAGCTTTTGTTTTTGTTCTTTATATAAATGCAATTTATACAGTATATAATTTCATGTTTAGTGTCTTTGCTTTTAACACTGTGTGTGTGGGATTCATCCATACTGTTTTCATTGCAGCATAATCCGTACGTTAACAGACCACAATTTATCCATTCTGCTGATGGATGCCATATTCTACTTTTGCCTTTTAATGCTGGCACTGTTTTTTCCTCCCAAGGAAAAGCCAGAGCTACAGTAGATGAGAGGAATACTGACTTAACACATTGAGGACTTACAGTGTTGTGAAAGGTAGTAGTGCCCAACTGTGGTGCTGCTCCCACACTAGTGCACCACTGCAAGTCATCTGTTACTGACCCTAAAGTACCAGAAAACCCTCATGTATATCTAGATGTATCTATAAGAGCAGGTGCGGGGTTAATTCTTGTCTGTGTGCCTTGCCTTTGTCCCCTAAAAACACTGCTCCCCTACCACCCTTCCTAGAGATGATGGCACAGGAGTATTTCTTGCCCTGCAAACCTATGTTCCAGAAGTGAGCTTCGTATCCTTGTTCCTCCCCTTCCAGTAAAATCCCTGCTTACTCTGTTGAGGCTCATGTGATCCTCTTTCAAGTAAGATCATCTCATGACCTGATTACTGCCTGTCTTGAAAAATCTGATACCTGCCTTCTTCTAAACTTCTTTCCTTCCAAGTGACTTCAGCTTCTGTGTGGTTTACCCATCTGTGTTGGGAGTCCCCAAGATACTCATACTCACATCTGTGATTCTTACAGTAAGAGGATACAAAGCAAAATTAACAAAAGGAAAAGACACTTGACAAAGTCTAGAGGAAAGCAGGCTCAAACTTTCAGAGGGGTCTTTTAAAGTGGAATAACAAGATGTAGTTCATTCTCCCCAGCAACAAGTTGTTGCAACATCTATGGAATGTTGTCTACCAGGAAAGCTCATTAGAAACTCAGTTCCCAGGGTTTTGATTGGGGGTTAATTATGTAGGCATCCTCTGCTTGGCACATACCAAAATCCCAGACTCCCAGAAGTAAAGCACAGGTAAACCACATTGTTTATACAAACAGTTTAAGGACAGTGAGCCAGTCTTATCATATCTGGGAACGGTAGAAACCCTCCCGAAATCAAGAGTTGCTAGATGCCAGCCAAGGGCCAAACTTCAAAGCAGGCCTTATAAAGGATAGAATTCAAGTCTGCTATGTTAACTCTTCTGGAGCTTTCCTATACCCCTAGTCTACTTGTCCTATGACCTTCTCTCAGCCCCTCCTATACAAAGCTGTGCGCACACCTGGACCTTGTCCATCAATCTCAACCATCACCTCTAAATCATGGATTTAGGCGCCCCACACTAGGATCTTCCAACTGCCTTGCTCAAGAAATAACTAACAACACAATACAGTGATCTAACCACTCGGTAACTGCTGTTAGCCTGGTGCAGGCCTCCAGGTCAGGGATTTTTCCACTTTGGATTCATTAGTTCTCTCCTTATGCATTCCCACCACCATCTCCAGCCTAGACTCCTTGATCCATCATTTATCTTGCAAATATCTTCAACTCTCTTGCTCTTACGAGCTTGTGCTCTTACCTAGAGAAATGTCAACCCTGAGAGTATCCACCCATCCACAGTATCAATACCAAGAGCATTGAGTGCTGCAGAAGAGAATGACATTAGAGTAAGTTAGCACCACTGTAAATATAAATACTGCTTTCTACTGGGTCCTCAACATTGCCAGTAAAACTTAGTACATTTTTATAATCACCTCTATGCAGTCACCAAATGTCTTTGCCATCTCTTTCAAAGAAAATTCGACATGGATCGAATGCCTCAAACACTTGCCGCACTCTAAACCAGCTTCATCTGCATCCAGCCTTTTCTTGCTGGCCGTATCAAAAACAGAAAAACTTCACCCGTTCAAGAAACTGCCTGTGCTCTAGCTCCCTAACTTCCTCCATTCCCAGACTTATACTGATTTCTCTCTTTGACTGCCTACGTCTTTAACTTCTTCCTTGATAAGGGATCCTTTATATTTACATGTAAGTATTAGGCTGGCATATTGTATAACAGTAATATGTTAATCATATATACTAATATATAATTGTAATTAGCATATTAATCATGTTGTAAACTCCTTTTTTCAGAAAATTATGCTTGGATTCAACATCCTACCAGCCCCTACTTAGCTCTTAACTGTCAAGATGCTTAATCTCCCTTTGACTTCATAACCCACTTGATCTACTCTCAGTTTTTGGTAAGATCACAAGTGATCTCCAATGAGCCTTTCCAGTTTTCCTCCCTTGCTTTCCAGAAGCATTCTGTATAATTGACCTCTTCTTAAAATACTCTTACCTTAAAACACACTTACCTTCCTGACTGCCATATCACTCTGGTTTTCTTGCTGCCCTCTCTAGAGCTGCTGCTCTTCAGTCCGCTTACTTGATTCCTCCACCATCCCATCTTGAAATAATAGTGCTCCTCAAAGTTCCACTTTAGCTTTTTTCTTTTTTAAGCTGCATACTCTGACATCAACCCCTATGGCCTTAACTATATGGAGTTCTTAAATTCACATGTCTAGCTCAGAACTCTTCTGAGTCTGGATCCGACTTCTTGATACCTGTACTTGAAGGTCTTACTGTAGCTTCTTAAATTTAATGTTCCCCAAACTGAAGTGATGATCTCCCTTTTACTTCTCTTCCAGTGTTCTTGATCCCAGTATATAACAGCATCACCTGCTACTAATCTGAGTGTGCCAGAACCCTGGAAGCCATCTTTGATACTCCATTTCCTTCAATTCTGCACCAGCGTAACACCTGTTACCAAGTTGTCAGTTCTACTTCCTAAATATATCTAATCCCCTTTTTTAATTAAAAAAAATAGTTTGATTACTTTGATAGGAGATGTGTGTTTTACTCTGAATCCCTCAGAAAGGCAGCAATCTAGCAATCTTGTCCCTTCCTATCTCTAGTCTTATGTTTTCAGTTTTTTCTATGGAAAAGGGGAAACTATTCAACAAATAATTGAGTCCTAACCGTGGAAGAGGTAAAAGTCCAATTGTAGGGTAAGCAGTGGTGAACAAAACAAACCCAGACGTTATTTGAGCTTGTATTCTACTAGGAGGAGACAAAATAAATGAGTAAAATGCAGAAATGTTAAGAAGATGCTTAAATGCTAAAGAGAGAAAAGCCAGGAATGGGGACAAGAAAGGGTATATGAGCTGGAAGGGAAATGCTGCTTCCAATTTAAAATAGGTTAGGGAAGCTGACATTTGAGAAATGAGTCAAAATCAAGCAGAAGAAATTGTAGCTGCAAAGACCGAGGCAGGAATGAACCTAGTATGTCTGGGAGTGGAGTGAGGGAGGAGAGAGTAGTAGAATATGAGGTTAGAGAGTAAGTGGATGCTGGGCAGGGAGGGAGCAGAGGAGTCTACTAATGACTGCCATTTATTCTGAGATGGAAGCAATGATAGGACTTTGAACAGAAGAGTGACAATCTGCCTTACATTTTAAAAGAATTTCTGGCTCCTGTGCAGAGAATATATTAGTGGGACAAGAAGCAAGGAGTTCAGTTAGGAGGCAGTACAGTAGCAGAGTGGTTCTTGCTCCCTGGCAGTTGGAACACGCGGCTTAGTCTTAAGTACTGAATCCACTGCAGAGGCTTTGAGGCAGAATGCTGTGGTTTAGAGGCTTCCCTCGCAGACTGTTCTCTGGCCAAGCATTAACACAGTTCAAAAAAATTTTTAATAAGATACACAGAAGTCTCCATCTTCTCACTGTCCCTCAGACTTATAGTTACCCTCTCCACATAGAGCTAGGTTGTTTCCAATTTTTGCTCATACTAACAATGCTGAAATGAAGGACCTTCAAGAGTCATTTCACAAATAGGTGAATTTATTTGTAGGTGGTAAATCCAACGACTGGATAACAAACTAATAGCTTTGTAATTATAATTGTGGTCACAAAAATGGTGTTATCAAGCTTTTGAAAATCTTTGCCAGTCTAATGAAAAATACTACCTTAGTGCCCCATGCATTTTACTTTGAGTGGAGCTGGATGTTTTTTTCATAAATATAAGTTACTAGTACTTAAACTAAGTACTTTTTTCATGTGAACTGTTTATTCTTTGATTATTTTTTCCTCAGATGTTATTTATAGGAGCTCTTTTTTATTAGGGAAAAAATGTTATTTTAATTGGATAATACCTGTATATAGTTAATAAATGAAACAAAGTAGTATACGGTAAGTCTACTTCTCTTCCTTGAAGGCAAATACTATTAACTATATCTGTATCGTTATAGAAAGTACCTTCCAAATTGTGCATATGAATGTGATACCCACGTCCCCCTCTCCTTCCCCTATTTGATTAATATATCACTAAGAAAAGCCTGTATAAGCTGTTCTTTACTTTGTTTTTTTTGCCTTCTTACCTCCTGATAGGAATATTTACTCTCTTAAACCACCACACATCCTTCCTCTGCATCCTCTTAATATACTTAAGATAATACTTGATTACAGCCAATGCATAATACTTATTACAATTAAGCAAGTATCATTTATGGATGAGCCAAGTAGTATAAACCTTACTTCCTCTCTCACAAAATGTTTTATTCCTGCCATTAAAAGTTCCTTTATTTTCACATGTTGGTTGACTTTAAAAGCTGAAAACTAATAATATTCTACTAGGATTTTATAAGAATTCTTAAGCATAGGCCAAGTGGTATATGCTTTCCCTGCATAGTCATATCATAGATACCTTTTAAATTACCTCCCTGAATATCATGAATACCTTTTTAATTACTATGACCAGTATTAAATGAATTGTCATTTTTTAGATTCCTAAAACCAACTTTTCTTAAAATCATTCACATTTTAATTTGCTTCATCATTGGACCTTCCCTTCTCCCATTTTTAAGTTGTTTTTCCATTATCTTTTCCTTTTTTCACACTTAATATGTACAAAAGAATATGTGACCCATAATGGATGAGTAACTGTGAACCTATCACTTCACCCCAAAACTGGAGTGTTACCAATAATGTGTATCAGTGTACTACAGCTCCCCTGTTCCATTGCTGCTTGACTCTGTCCTGAATTTCATCAACACTTTGTTTCTGTTTTGTTGACAATGTTACTCCCTAGAATTTCCAATTCACACTTAAACATACTCTCTCTCATTCATATTCTGTATTTGGAATGTGTTCCATTCTTGAACTCACTTGATTTTTAATCTAACTTAGACAATTTTTTTTCATTGGACCACTGTTATTTTTGTGGTTTTTCATTTTTCCTGGAGTTTCTTAATGCCTTTTTTGTTTGCTTCTATTGTAAAGTTATTTCCAACCATCAAAACATACTATCTTTTTTATTCAGTCTGTGAAATCTTTTTTTCTAGAGACTGTTCTACAACCTCCTCCCTCCTGCTAAAATCTGACTATGTTGTTTTTGAGATCTTTAGCAAAGTTACAATTGTGGGATTTCTCTTCATTGCTCTCCTGGGTTAGAATCAGTTTCCTGGATGCCGTGTTTTCCATGCCTTTGTTTGGTAGAATTCTTTAGGGAGCTTTCTAGGAAAGTATACATAAAGCGCCAGGTAGTAAAAGTCTCTGCCACATTTTCTTCTCCCTCTATTTTAATTTAATAACCCCTTTAAAATATAAATACCATTCTTAGCTTAATTGCTGACCCTTGATATAACATTTAGTGGTGCTAAGTCTGATGCCAATCTTACTGTTTTTCATTATAGATGACATGTTTTTTCCTCTCTGGAACCTTAGTATTGTCCTTTGTGTTAAATTTTATAATGACTTCTCTAGATGTGGGTCTTTTTTTTAACCCAGTGTCATGCTGGGCAGCTCATAGGCCCTTTTGATTTAAAGACTAGTGTCTTTCCTTTAGCTTTCTCTTTTTACTTCTTAGATGATTTATTTGATGTCATCCTCCCTGTTCTTTCACTAGATCTCCCTTTTTCTCAGATAAAAGAACGTCAAAATTATCTCTTGTCTTAGTTCCTTTCTCATATTTTCTTAATTTACCCTGATTGTTATTCTTGGTCTCTGTCATGTAGTAAACTTTATTAAAATACCCTAGGATTCTTGGTTGTCTCTCACTAGAAGGAGACAGAGGAACTCTAGAACTCTGTGTGGCCAGTATTTGTCATCTGGTAAGGTTTGCCTTACAGTAGTGATCTTTATCCTTGAGATCTCTGAATTCCAGGGGGCTTTGTTCAGAGATGCAAATACTCTTGCAGGTACCTGCAGGGAAGAACCTTTCTTTACTTGTTGGCTTTTCCTAATAGTTGTGTTGCCTAATTATGTCACTCTAACTGCATCAGGGAGAAACAGGATTGTTCACGGCCTGTTGTGCAGACAGACCTTAGGTTAGTTTTCCAGCTTTCAAGCTGCCTCCTCACTCTTCCCCTCTGTGTTACCTGCTGCCTAACGGTATGAAGCATTCCACAGTTCTAGGCAAGTTGCTCCTGCATAATAGCACCCCCTGTCCTGGTCCAGTTGGTAGCACCCTCTGCTTTTTCTTGGATCACCATACTTCTTCCATCTGTTCTAATCAGTCTAGAAGTTTGCTGAAAAATATCTCACAGATTCCTCTCTGCCCAATTCTATTTATATTGTATCATTTTACTCAATGTGTTGATATTAATATAGTCTTAATTGAAAATAAGGTACACATCTGTACTTGGTTTACCATCTTGAACCAGAAATGTTCCTCTAATGCAAATCACCTTTCCTATACTGCTGCAGTAGTCAGAATAAACTTTTGTGAACACAAATCTGATTGTCAAATTGTTTCACAGGTCTTAGAGAAATTACAGAATCTGGAGGCCTTAAGAGATGAGGTATCCTACTGGAAATTGTGTCACTGCAAATATGGTCTGATAGGGATGTGATTGTGGTGTCAAAACAGCCAGACCCAGGCTGCTTCCAAGAGCTAGTACCTCCTCAAGGCCTCAGTCCTGGTCTAGGCCTTTGAGTCACAACTCTAAAAATAAGCCACAGGGCTATGAGCTAGCATGGCAGCTGTACACCTCTGGTTCTCTGGCTGGCTGTGGTTCAGCAGCAGGGACTTCCCAGGTCCAGCACTGCTACTGCTTCAGACAGCCTGCAGATCCTGCTCAGCTCCCAGAGGCACTAGGACCAATTCCTAGCTACCTGCAACCTGGCACTGGGCTCATCTTTAAGTTGTGAATGAATCTCAGGCCTATTCTCTGCAAGTATCTAAAGAGCCTCTTGACAAAGCAAGAAATGCCAGGTCAGCCCAATTACTATAACTTCTCCCTGAATGTGTCCCTGGGTCACATGCTTCTCTGTGTCTGGTACCAGTGGGTTTGCTCTGAAGCTTTTATCAACCCAGGTCATGACTTATGCTCAAAACATACCTAGTGTCTGGGCCACCTTACTTTTCTCTTCCCACTGATCATGGATTTAAATCTGGAAATCCTGAAGTCTTCAAACTAACACTGAACTGAGGTCTGAGGTGGGCCACTGTCCTGGTTTCTGTCCCTAGCATAATCAGAAAATAGCTGTTTTTTCCTTTCCCAGAAATAGAAAGGAACTTGTCGAATTTACTCAATTTAGCATTATCCCAGCTCGAATTTACCTTGTTCTCATTTAACTTGGGGAGGCAAGAAAGTGCAGAACCAAATATTAGTGCAAGTAATATCCGTCACAGTGAACTACCAGAAAAGGACAGAGAGCTACAAATGACCTGGCGATGATGATCACACAGACTGCTGGTGGAAAGGCTGGCACTACTCCCACAATTGCTGGCGTGATCCCCAGGGTACCTTCCAGAGCAGGCTGACACCTGACATTTGATCCTTCTGTCCCCCACCATGAACAAAGTGGGTGTGCATGCAGTCTTCAGCCTTTCAAAAACAGAGTAGAGTAGAAAAAAAAAATTCAGCAAATCAGGAATAGATGGAAACTTTCTTAATGTAATAAGGAATGTTTACAAAATCTACAGCCAGTATTACATGAAATATTAAACTCTTTCCCCTTGAGAGTGGTATCAGCTATCAGGCTTATATTCAGCATTGTATAGACCATCCTAGTTAGTGCAGGGAGCTGTGAAAAAGAAAGATACAAAGATCAGGAAAAAGAAAACTTATCATTT